GGATTATGGTGAGAGAAACGGCCACATTATGTACTTCTATCTTCTGTGTGAGTAAGTGAGTAAGTAAAGTTTATTTGTACAGTGCCTTTTAAAGACCAGAATCACAAAGCGCTTCACATTAAAAATAAACAGATAAAAATAATGCAATAGTTGTACATACATTCATGTCAGTATAGTGACAGTGTTGACAATAAGGGATGAATGAAATTGCAGTATTGTTAGTTAGTTATTTAGTTTAGTTTTATAATGTCTGTACTTATGTGTTTGGATGGATGGATGTCAAAAATGTGGTTTAAATGACAATGTAAAAACTGCTGTAACAGGGTTAGCATGCGTCGTCTTGCATTTCTATCTAATCCGTTACAAATCCTTTTCTTTGCAAACAAAAATCTACAGTTTGCTAATGTGTGTGTGTGTGTGTGTGTGTGTGTGTGTGTGAGCATGTGTGAGTGTGTGTGTGACCTGCATGTGAAAGCCAGATCCTGTATAAACAGTTGTTAGCTTTCTCAGCAAGAAGGTCCCGGGTCCGAATCCCAATCAGAACAGGGTCTTGTTGTATGGAGTTTACACGTTCTCACCATGTCTGCGTAGGTTTCCTCCAGGTGCTCCGGTTTCCCCTACCACTAAAAATCATGCACAATATGTAAAATCCTCCAGCTCTGGTCCTGACCAAGAGCATCAAAGTCTACAGATGGATTTGCAGGGTCAAATGCAGAGGACAAAATTCCCTACGGCAATAAACAAAGTGCAGGTTTACATTTAAAATTTGCTTTCCATTTTCTTCCGCTTTATTCGTACAATCGTCGCCATTATTGTTTAGCTGAATAACCAATCTGATCCTCATCCACATGTTTCTGTTGGGTTGAAATGAGCCGTTTAGAAAAGTCTGATTTGTGAATGAGAGACACTGAAGTGGGAGGATGTTGGCAGATGTGGTGGTATTTATAGAGTTTGTGTTTCCCTGTGTATGTCTTGCATATAAGGAAGGGGAGGTCTTTCTTTGGTTAGGCACAACATCAACCTCAACACATGATGGGGTTGAATCTCATCTGTGATTTGTTTCGTGAACTGAAGTAAAATCATTTTTGCTCCATTACATTGTAGAAGTTGGTCTTTAGAGTCAAAATGAGAGCGACTAGAGAGAAGACAGAGACAGGCCTAGAGAAGACCGAGAGAACACCAAGAGAACACCGAGAGAACACCAAGAGGAGTTAGAGACAGATCTAGAGAAGACAGAGACAGACCTAGAGACAGAGACAGACCTAGAGAAGACAGAGACAGACCTAGAGAAGACTGAGACAGACCGAAAGAAGACAGAGACAGACCTAGAGAAGACTGAGACAGACTTAGAGAAGTCAGAGACAGATACAGACCTAGAGAAGTCAGAGACAGACCTGGAGAAGTGAGAGACAGATACAGACCTAGAGAAGACTGAGACAGACCGAAAGAAGACAGAGACAGACCTAGAGAAGTCAGAGACAGATACAGACCTAGAGAAGTCAGAGACAGACCTAGAGAAGTGAGAGACAGATAAAGACCTAGAGAAGACAGAGACAGACCTAGAGAAGACTGAGACAGACCTAGAGAAGTCAGAGACAGATACAGACCGAAAGAAGTCAGAGACAGACCTAGAGAAGTCAGAGACAGACCTAGAGAAGACTGAGACAGACCTAGAGAAGAATGAGACAGACTCAGAGAAGACCGTGAGAGGACCGCCTTCCCATCGTTGTACATTAGTGTATGCAATCTTCTCTACTCCAGTTGCTCTGATCCTTGCAGTGTGTAGTGTGTGTAGTGTGTATAGTGTGGACTGTGTGTAGTGTGTAGTGTGTAGTGTGTGTAGTGTGTTTTGTATAGTGTATAGTGTGTTGTGTAGTGTTTGGTGCACACAGGGCGCAGTTCAGTGAAGCGTTCAGAAGGAAGCGATGATAAATACACGGTGGGATTCTCAGTACTTATGCTCTGGAGAAGTGAGCACTGGGCCATGAGGCGATCAGGACGAGCACCAATGTTCTCTTTTTTATACATTGTGTGTCAGAATTTGTTTGGCTCACAGCTTTTAAATGATCTCAGGCTTGCTTCTATATTATAAGTTAGAGATGCTATACTGACTTCTTCATTAGACTAAAGCCAGAGATTTTACACTTAATTCGGGCTCTTTTTTATGCTGAAGAAGGAGATTTCAGACTTGTTTCCTTTTTATGCTAAAGTTAGAGATTGTATTTTAATTTTGTAAGGAGTTATTGTTCATTTATCTTGTGTTATTTGCTCCTCGTTCCTGCTGTAGAGATGCAACACTGAAAATTCCCCTCTGTGGGATGTTTAAAGGATCTCTTAATCTTAATTTTTATTGGTTATAAGCAAGACACGCTCATTGGTACAGCAGAATTCATATACAATGGAGGAGACATCTTACAACTAAAAAATCTAAATTAAAATATTTAGTTTAGAAAAAAGAGCAGATTCCACCACTGCAGAGAAATAAATAAATAAAAATATATTTTTATATTATTTTTAGAGTACAAGCTTGTCTAGACTGACTCCGGGCACCAGCAGGAGGCCAGTCCCTGTGCTCCTCACAGGTTCTTATGGCCCTAACATGTCACAGATGTACTTTGGTGCGAGGCCATGGAGAGACTGGCTTAAAGTCTATTCTCTGAGCCACAGGAAGCCAGTGCAGAGACCTGAGAACTGAGAACAAAAGTGAGAGTACTTCCTGGTTCTAGTCTGGACTCGAGCTGCAGCGTTTAGAATATACTGTAAATACATTATTCATATTTTTGAGATTTTTTATTTTATTTTTACCAAAATCTGGCTTTGATTTCATTTAGGGACATTTAGGGACATTTATGAACATGTATTAACGTTTATGGACAGTTACCAGATTGTAGAGACCAGAGAGAGAGACCTGAAACCAGACTATAGACCAGACCAGAGTGTTGAATATTGGGTGATGTTGCAACATGGTACAAATGGGTCCAGTCTGGATCTATAGCCCGTCCGTCCGGGAGGAGCAGATCCCTTTCTCAATATGAGTCTCCCCGAGGTTTCTCACTTTTTCCCACTGGGTTTTCTCATACGTTTTTCCTTGCCAATGCAGGAGGGTCTGTTGGACAGTTAGTGTCCAACTAGAAGGACTGTGATGATGATCCAGGACACTTAAACATTCTACAACATGTATGATGGACATTTCTTAACATGTCTTCTGTAATCTTTATTTGTTTTAACTGTTGATTCTCTGATCTGTGTTGGTGATTTCAATGGTTTTGTTTAGTTCTCTGAGATGACTGCTGTTGTGATTTAGGGCTATACAAGAATAAATTGTATTGTTATCCCTCTTTCTATGAATCAATGGCTTCTACGTGTTTGTTAGTCTTGCATTTCCTCTATTCGAGCAGTTAGTTGGTAAAATGTTCCGTGACGACTGCTGTTGTGATTAAGGACTACACAAAAATACGTTTAATTGAACTGAAATGAAAGTTATTTTAGGCACAAACCTTGAATGTATTCTGTTGAAACTTTGCTCCACTGTCTTTTAATTGTCCTTCTCAACCTCCCAGACCCCCATCTATTCATTATGCTAATTCTCTTCCATTACTTGCCACTTCCCCTCCCTCCTCCCCCCTCCCTCCTCCCTCCTCCCTCCTCCCTCCCCTCATCACCTTAAACTGTTAGGATTCGCCTTGTCCAAACCCAGTGGGATCAAAATGCCATTTAAAACGCCTCCCTCTGGTCTTGGCTTCTCTCCCGCTGATGAGACAGAGTTTTGTGTTCTGCTCCTCTTTCATCTGGCCTCCCTGTGCTTCCAAACATGTATATGCATGTGTTTACTGCTGCTGCAGACGCTGGGGAGTCCTTCTATCACCGAGCTCACAATTCAACCAACACCAGATCCTTTGCATTGTCTGACTTCAGGCGGATAACAAACTGCGAAATGCAAAGTCACGCCCGGATCAGCTGCGGTGGAAATAATGAATGAGATTTGAGTGTGAGAAAAAAAAAATCCTCAAGTTCAATTCTCAATGTATTTCTTTCTGTTCTTAAATGTCTTGGATCAATGGGTCGACAGTAGCTAAGTTGGTAGAGCATTAGCCTTTAAGCCTGAAGGTCATGGGTTCGATCCCACCTTCTCCCACTGATGTCTGTCGTTGTGTCCTTCGGCAAGACACTTAACCCCACTTTGCCCAAAGTCCCCGCTGAAAGATCAAGGCTATGCTCACACTTCCGTCCTCCTGTGGACTCGACTCACCACCTGCAGGAGGATCAGTCAGTGGGGGGCTGGTGCTATGTGACTTGGGTGGCATCTCCAACTGCCATCCCCCTGACCCAGAAATGGATTAAGGGGTAGAAAATGGATGGATGGATGGATGGAATGTGCTGGATCATCATCACTATCCTCAAGGACAGAAGAAAAAAGTGAGAAAGTGAGAGGCCACATTGAGATAAGTGAGGCAACCAGTCTGTTCCATCGTGCCCTCTGACCACCACCACCAACCATTCACACACACACCAGACTCATTCCAAATCATAAATATTCACTGTGTATAAAAAAGAGTGAAGACACAATCCTTGAGTTGTGTGCACTGCTAAGATACAAATCATTCCCAATTATTAAATAATTCAGTTTTTTTGCCACTTGCAGTAAAACCACATTGGAATAACTGTACGAGAGTTCCCCAGTGTGCACCAACCAGTACACACCATCTTGTCAAGGCGTCATGTTACAATTCAGATTCCGTTTTTTTGCCAATTGCAGTAAAACCACATTGGAATGCATTTGCAAAAGCCCCCAGTGTGCACCAGACAAGTACATGAATAAGACAAGGTAAAAAGTACAGGAATAAAACCAGCTAAATCCAGCCTAAATCCCAGAAATGCCCGACTTTCTGCTGTATTTTTCACACTTTGGCTGAAAACTTGAATTCCGTGCTGATGTAATGTTGTCTCGTCTGTCTCTGAGTCCATAAATATTAACGCTGGCGGCGGTGGTTGTGCTGCAGGTGGACGGGAAGGCGGTGGACGGCAGCCTGCTGGGAGATGCCAACGGCGTGGAACCCGCTCCGGGAAGAGGGAAGGAGTCTGGGAAGTGGCAGAAGCCGCGATTCTCCAGGAAAGCGCTGATGAAATGCTGCCTGGTGAAGTGGATCATCGCCAGCACGCAGCCGCAGGACAAAGGTGAGGGGTCCGCACTGTTATCCACCAGACTTTCTATTATTCTTCAACCTTTTACTGCTTGTGTTGTAGTTCTTGCTCCGATTTTATGCCGTGCTCATATGTAGTAAGAACTAATTTTTGATGAGATTTTGATGATGTTTTGGTACTTAGAAAGAACCACAGAGCCTAGAGCCAGACTTTGGGCTTGGATCTTCAGCTGTAGAGACTTTTAGTTTTCTTCTGCTCCTGGTCTGAGTAATTGGTCTAATTGTGTGACACAGGTCTGGTCTTGCAAACTCCTTTCTGAGTGGTGTTTGCATGTTCTCCCCGTGTCTGCGTAGGTTTCCTCCGTGTGCTCCGGTTTCCCCCTCCATTAAAAACATGTACAATAGGTCTGAATGTAATGGGTGCGTGAATGGATGGTGTTGGATGGAGGCTTTGATGCTCCGTCATCACCGTGTGGCGAGAATGGAAAAATATCTGGACTCTGAACAGTGTGAAGCACTTTGGATGACCTTGGTCTGTAAAAATGCGCTATATGAATAAACATTACTTACTCCTTACTCAGTAATTTGATGACGTTTTCGTGCTTACAAAAAACCACAGAGCCGCAGAGTCCGACTTTGGGCTCTGATCTTCAACGGTGTAACTATAGAAACGTTTACGGTTTTATTTAGATCTTAGTTTAGTTATTGTTGTTTTTAAACTATAGGACAAAAGGGCCAGACTTAAGTCTAAAATTGTCTGACAAAGCTGGGTGACATGGATTATATAAATGTTTCTTACAATACAAATGTTCATAATTGTTCTATTGTTGTAGTTTGAAAGTTAAGGAGCCCAGCTTTAAGATCAATGTTTTTGCTTCAAATGTACTATTTTTAGGTTTATTTTATACTATTTTACAGCTATTCATATTGTTTTGAGTAATGTCCCCACTGTTACACAAATAAGCCGTCATCGCTGTACACAGACTGGAGCATTGACTGTAGTGTTCTTCCTGTTTCTACATGTTCCAGACTGGACAGAACCAAATGTTTTGTGTGGTGCTACCGTGAGGACCCAGTCGTCCCTCTGTCTAAATATGAACTGCCTGTGGGAAATATTTCTTGGTTGTGGTGGTATGTGCGAAAAACACTGATCGATCTCACTGTGGGCACAAATGCACTGAGCACTGGAGGCCATCAGTCCATCAGTCCATCAGCCTTAAGGAGCTGTGGCTGCAGGGAGAGGAGAGAGAGACCAGAGCGGAGAGAAACCAGAGCGGAGAGAGGACAGAGAGAGAGAGAGGGGAAAGAGAGAGGCAGAAGAGAGAGAGAGGACAGAGAGAGAGACCAGAGCAGAGAGAGACCAGAGCGGAGAGAGGACAGAAAGAGAGAGAGGAAAGAGTAGAGAGGAAGAAGAGAGAGAGGGAGAGGACAGAGAGAGAGGGCAGAGAGAGAGACCAGAGCAGAGAGAGGACAGAAAGAGAGAGGACACATAGAGAGGACAGAGCAGAGAGAGAGAGGACAGAGAGAGAGAGGACAGATAGAGAGGACAGAGCAGAGAGAGAGAGGACAGAGAGAGAGAGAGAGAGGACAGATAGAGAGGACAGAGAGAGAGGACAGAGAGAGATGCGGAGAGAGAGGACAGAGAGAGAGAGAGCGAGAGAGGCCAGAGCAGAGAGAGAGAGAGAGGCCAGAGCAGAGAGAGAGAGAGAGGACAGAGCAGAGAGAGAGAGAGAGAGAGAGAGAGAGAGGACAGAGAGAGAGATAGAGAGAGAGAGAGGACAGAGCAGAGAGAGAGAGAGAGGACAGAGCAGAGAGAGAGAGAGAGAGAGAGAGAGAGAGAAGACAGAGCAGAGAGAGAGAGAGAGAGAGAGAGAGAGGACAGAGCAGAGAGAGGTAGAGAGAAGCAAGAGAGAGAGAGGCCACAAATATTACTTTCACAGAGGAAAAAGAAACATCGCATTTCTGATCCAATCCAATTTGAAGGATCGGATCAAAATTTGTCAGCAAATACTTGGACTCTTACCTCATAACCACAAGAGCCGATTACAACACACAGCGGCTGGGTTTGACTCCACCTCCAGGCCTTTCTGTGTAGAGTTTGCATGTTCTCCCTGTGTCTGCATATTTTTCCACTGTATGTCGATCCCACTCCCATCTCTGTGTGGAGTTTGCCCACAATGATTGTAAGAAACAATAGATAAAGTAGATTCTCGTTGCCAGTTTAGTGTCTCTGGAATCTATGGGGAAGATGACATTTTCCTGCTATAGTCATTTGTATTTCGGTGCTTTCTGTGTGGATTCTGTGAATGGAGGCCTCACGACTCACTGTGACTTTATCTGTAGACACGTTAGTCCTGTAGCGCCATCTCGTGGTCAGGGTTGAGAGGTGCAGAGTATATTGAGAGCCTAAAGTTTAAACAGAGCTCAGTCAGTATTTGCAGTCTTTAAATTGCTGGTTGTTTTCTGATTAGGTGCTCGAGCAAACTATGAATTGTTAATATTGCAAACTTACTGATTCTAAATGACCGTTGATTGGAAATGAGTTGAATTGTTAGATTATAGAAGCCTTTATTTATCTAAAGGAGATATCAGCAACTTAACTACCATGGTCATCATTATCATTATAACTTTTAAAGAGACAGTATGCAATTTTTCATTTTAATATGACATCTACATCTTCTATACATGTCCCCAAAAAACAGTCATGTGAGATAAGGTTACATAGGGAAACATCTCCAGATCTGTCTTCAGGGGCAAAAGTTGAAAAAGATGAGTCCTGACCCGCCTGCATGGACTACAAACCATGTGTGGACCAAACTACATTCCCCATCATGCACTGGGTTAGGACACGTGCGCTGGAGAGAGACTGAGGGCAGAATGGAGACATGTGTTTGGACAGAAACACGACTCACTGCTGATTGGCTGAGTTTATCCACACAGACAGGTCCCAGGTCAGCTTTGATAGATCGATTCCCATTGGAGAAGTTTAGGTGTCCAGCAGAAACACGTCCATCCATACAAACAAACAAAAACATATCATTCTAAAAGTGATTAACAATATAGTATATGTCTTAGTCTTATAACCGAAGGCACAAACGATCTGATACTTCCTTGAATAAGTCTGTCGTTTTGATAGCAGTTATAGGATTAACATGTGATTTTTTGTATACTCTTGACAATTAAATAAAAGTCATATGGATGGAAGACTGTTTGTGCAATTATATAAAAAATGTATAGTTGGGTTTATATTAAAACGCGATTCATAGGGGCTGGTGCTCTGACTCAGAAATAGATAAAGGGGAAGAAAGTGGATGGATGGATATATTAAAACTGAGGTGGTCATTTTGACAGTTTGCACCTTTTTTGAGTCGTTCTTTGCCGATGCAGGAGGGTCTGAGTCAGGGGTGTCCAAACCATTTAGTAAGAGAGCCACTTTAGGTCACCAGATTAGTCCAAGGGCCGACATCACAGACTGAAAAACTGTCTTGACTGGTATCGGGCTGTGCTGAGCTTTAAAATGATCTATAACTGAGCTGAAGTTGGATGGATGACACAGATAACTTGTTTTTAGGACTTCTTCGGGTTAGCAAGGCAGAGGGCCACATTAAATGACACTGAGGGCCGCAATTGGCCCCCGGGCCTGAGTTTGGACATGCCTGGGGTAAGCAAAGCACAGTAATGATCCAAAACATGTATTAATTTACATTTACAGACAGTGGTCCTTCTGCTCCCTATGAACCAATGGCTTCTATGTGTATTTTCTGAAGCTCAAAGTAAACACATATTATACTGTACACAATCTCATATCTCTATCATTTGTCATAAACACACACACACACACTGTTAGATGTCAGTGTCTTGAGGAAGTGACTCGGCTCCACGCTGACGGTGTCGTTGGCATCGATCAGCTGTGTTTGGGCTCCAGCGTCATGTAAGCGTGTAATGAAACCGGGACCTGGAAACGTGAGTCACAGAATCAGCACTTAACACCGTGAGCTCGCCGTCACCGTGCGCCCAACGCCGTCACCGTCTCCCACAGGCCAAACAGGCGAGACTTTCAGATGAGAGGCAGCGGAAAGATCATTAGTTATAAGATAGAAACCTCTACCAGAACCTGTGAGCTCTGGAAGGCCATCTTTGTCAATATAATTCCATTACCTGTCAATTCAATTCTCCATATTTATAAAACTTCATAAAGTCAAAGGGTACATTACATAAAAATACACTTTTAACAGACTAGAAAATTAAGAAAATGTCTAAAGATTGCTCTGGGAGGGTTTCTTATTCTTAACAGAAGAAATGTTTTCTTGCAGCAGAATCAGAATCAGAACCATTTGTATTGTTAGTAACAGGAAGTCACAAACTAGGAAATTGCTTTAGCTTTTGGTGTAAACAAGTTTTATAAGGACGATTAGAATAAGTCATGGATAAAAAGAAATAAATCTACATAACATTCTTTAAATGTCTACTTTATAGTAAGTAATTGAAGCAGGAATAAGGAACAAAACACAAGATCAGTGAATATTAAAGGGTCGGCACTGGATCATATACGAAATCGGGACGAAACCGGAAGTAACAACCCTACTTATTAGTTTTAGACTAATAAGTCCTTAAGTGGTGACTGGTTAAGTTTTAGGTGTCGGAGTAAGATGGTTAAGGTTAGGGTTAAGGCTGGGTTGGGGTTATTCTTTGGGAATGGCTGGTTAAGTTTAGGCATAAATAGGTAGTTTGTTATTTTTGCTTCTGCTTCCGTCCCGATTCCGTATCAATATTAAAGGTGCAGTAAGTGATGTTGTTAGCTTAGCCGTAGCACCAACTGGAATCCACTCCCCCCTCCCCTCCCTCTCCACCAAACCAAACATCCAGCATTTTCTTTTCTTTGTCAAACGTGAAATTGGCATTTTCTGTTCAGCCCTTATAGGTTTTAGAAAATTTGATAAATTCGGGGGGTAAACGCATCCCATTGGTTCGTTGGGGATGATCAAATCCAATTGGTTTATTGTTATCGGCCTGCTCCAAAATATTTGTTATTAATTTTTGTAGACTATAGGCATCTTGTCAATTCCATTTCTATTTGAAAACAACTTTTAGCGTTGAGGGACGTTTTCCCACAATATAAAAAAAATAATAATAATGCGTCTGGAAAAAAATCACTGACTGCATCTTTAAGTATAGCACAACTCTTACCTTAAAAATGAAATGTCTCAATTACTAAAGAAACTATGAATGAATAGAATACTGAAACTCGGTGCAAGAAATTAATCTACATAACATTCCTTAAATGTCTACCATATATAAGTACACTGAGTAAAATTCTTGAAAATACTACTGTATGCAAGAGCACCAAGTACACACAATAGACGTTTACCAGTGCAGTAAAGGGACCATGGGGTTTTGCAGAGTTCACATGGTTTTATAACAGTCTGCCACTACGGTTTTGTGAATTCCTCTTAGATAACTACTGTTGTAATTTAGGGCTATTCAAAAAAAATAATTGAATTGCTTTTATCCATCCATTTTTTTTCCATCCATTTTCTACCCTTTAATCCATTTCTGGGTCAGGGGGGTGGCAGTCAGAGATGCCACCCAAGTCTCATAGCACCAGCCCCTCACTGACCCTCTGCAGGTGGTGAGTCCACAGGAGGTGAATTGCTTTTATTGCGCTCTAAATTAAACTTTAAAAAAAACAAAAAAACTACACTGCTATTGTCACTGTTTCTTAATTGCAACTTTTATTGTACATAATATATCCTGAACAGACTAAATTGTTTGCTTCTTCTTCTGTCTTTTGTCTTTTTCACAATCTGAGCGATTCTAGAGTGTTGGAACTAAACTCGTCTCGGCAAAAAGACTAGATCACGATGCGGGTTCAATGGCGAGTCGTTTTGACACACCAACCTGCATTGCTCTGTGTGTATGGAGGAGGCAACACATGGTTTTTGGGTGACATTTTTGAGTTTTTGGGAAGTGGAAATGAGGCTATAGACGATCATGTACAGCGGACAGAAGCCTGTAGCGTCCTCTTTCTCCATCAGAAGTGATTAGAAGCTGCGGTGAGGAGGAGATGCCCTTGTGTGATCCGTGAGGAGGCCGCAGACGGAACACACTGGTGGACGTGGCCTTGGCGATGGTCACAGCTCGGAATAGCAGCAGAGACTGAGACGAGACCGAGGGCAAAGGCTGAGGCTGCAACAGTTCGACAGATGGACGAACAAACACGTCAAACTCAGAGTAAAAAGTCTCCGTCACTTTTTCTATGGATTTTATTTCTTTATTTTTGTCATATTCCTCACTTTCTGACACATTTCTCTCATTGTAATTACTCACTGTAAAGCATTAGAAGCAGTGTTTCACAGCTTTAAAAGACTTCAAGTTACATGTGTTATTTTTACAGTTGCTCCAAATGAAAAAAACGTATTAATCTATAACAAATATGACCTTTTTTAAGAATACTTATCTCCATCATGTTTTTGACTTAGGCTTAGAAATGGACTCATAAATGTCTCCATGTCTCCAGGACTCTCCATGTCGATGCGCCATCTTGAAATAAGGTGGATGATAAGGGACAAAAAGGAGTTTGAGCGGGAGTTGGGGACCACTGTCAAAGACGACATATTGTCCTACGAAGCTACAGTAGAATATTGTAGTAAATTACAATATATGACCTCAATGCTAGATGGGAGTAAAAACTTCACAGAGTTCCTTTAAGCTGAGGAGTTTAAAGTTCTGTTTAAATTACAAGTGACTGTATAAATATTACATACACAACATCTGCTGGAACAAACAAAATGAAAATGAAAAAAAAAAATTCTCCAGATGGAATTCCTTATATATTTCTTAAAACTGTTTGGTGCATCAACAATTTTCTCACCCACTTTTGACCTCTGTGACAGTTTTAGATCAGCTTTCACGGGCCAAAAATATGTAGAAAAGGACCAGGCGGCTTTCAGACTAAAGAGTCAAATACAGACTCCTGTGCTTTTTAGATTAAAAAAGAGATCAATAATAAGAACCTATTTTTTAGAGATAAGAAAATATATTTTACAAAAAAGTCAAAAATGTATTGTATTGGCTCAGCAGAAAGAGTCTTGTTTAAGTTACATTTTGTGAGAAAAAAAAAATCAATCTTCACCTTTGTAGAAAACATTTGATATTTCACGTGCTGAGAGCTGATTGGCTGAGTGAGGGTGGTCCTCTCTTTTTCTATTTCTGCCTGAAAAAGCTAAAGATGAGACAGAAAGGGAAAAAATTACACAAATGTGAAAATTATGGATAGAATTAAACTGTTTTGAGAACGAGGAACTAGTGACAGAGAGAACTGGAGATTTTATTACATAGTTAATATTTGTGGTTTCAAAGTTATGTATAGTTTTCAATACAAATCTAGATTCCCTCAGTATTTCCCAGCTCTGAAACGATGTGATTCAAACGTACGGAAACACAATCCGTCATATTAGATTCTCAGTTGAATGTTCTTTACACAGAGGATACATTTCAAGCCATATTGTTCTCTGATCGGTACACAAAGAAGAAGAAGAAGACGACTGTGTTCTCCTTTTTGCTCGTGCCGAAGGTGAACCAGGCCAGTGTCCGGATCGGTCATACGAAACTATCAGAGCTCCTTTAGCCTCGCGTCATGCCACTCTGAGCCCTGAGCCACCGCGAGGCCAAGCAGGACAGCAAGGACAGGGAGAAGGGAGGGTTTTCAGCACCTGTGACCAGATAGAGCAGAGAGACAGAGCGACAGAGCAGGACAGGACGCGCCTTTACACTGGTTTCATTTCATTATTATCCCCCATAACTGGGACTTAACATTGCGTGGATGCTTCTACTGCTTCTGGCGTCAGACTTGTGCTGGTGGAGAGTGTTGGAACCATGAACGCCTGCAGGACACGGTGTGCGAAGGTGGTGAGGTGTGTGATCGGCTTCATCACCGGGACGCTCATTCCAGGTACTGCTGCGATGCTTAAATAGTTAAACATATTTATGGTGAAATTTGTTTAGTTTAGAGGTTTTTTTGGAGTCTGTGTGAGCTGCGGGTGACATCTGACTTTGTTCTATCATTGATTAGATGTAAGGCTATCCTCAGGTCTTCTTCCTCTGTCGGTTTGACCACACAAAACATGAAGAAGATACTTTGTCGGTCCCACGGTGGGGAAATGTCAGTGTTGCATCACAAGGGACAGAACAGTAGGAATAAGCAGCACAAAACACAAGATCAGTGACTATGTAAAAGTTTAGCATGACTCATACTTTAAAAATAAAATCTCTCAATTACTAAAGAAACTGTATATGAATAGAATACTGTATACTCTGTGCAAGAATTATATACTTGTATGTGTTCATCTGTAGATATCTGTGATACGCTCTCAAAGTAATTTCCTCTTTGGATCCAATATTTACTTAAACGGCAATAAAAATTCTGATTCATGTAGTTGATGTTAGCAGCTTGAGGCTCAATCATGCATTTCTTGCTTTGATTTTATACATGCAAAGGCAGATAACTATAGTGTGGCCTTTATAGTCGAGAAAATATGTGACTAATCTATAATATACAGTACACATTACTTTTTAAATTCCAATATTGATCTAGAATGATGAAACATGATTCTACGTCATGGTGCTACGTCCCTTAGCGGACTTCGCTAGTGGGATATCACGTGACCCCCAGGTCACAGACGCCAGAGAGATCAACAAAAAAATGCTCCAATCACTAGCGACCCTCCTCTATAAAGGCCCCTGCTCCATAGCCGCGCCCCCTCTTTCAGCCCCTCTTTCACTCTGGCGCTGATTGAGATCTACCACAGTACTCACTTCATTCTGAGAGATGTCTTCCGTTGTTCGTCCGAGTTCCCCTTCGCCCTCCAGCGTCGGACGTCGTGGTTGCTCAGCGTGTCGAGTCAGGCTCCAGCGCACGGACCAGCATGCCAGCTGCTTCATGTGCCTGGGCCCGGGCCATGCGGCGTTGAGCGCTAGCTGCGCCTCGTGTCTCGCTCTCCCCAGGGAGGAGAGCGAACGCAGGCGTTCGTTCCTCGCCGCTGCAGCGCCCCGTCCGGACTCCTCTCAGGACGAGGAGTCTGAGATTGACTGGGCCCCACTCGACCTTCCGCCCGTGCCCGCGGAATGGGGTGACTGCGAGGACGGAGAGGCTTCGGAGATCGGCTCTCTCCTCACCCTGGACGAGGTGGTTTCGAACCCGGAGCCGGACCGCTTTCCTCTGGACCACATGCCTGGTCTCTACTCCTCCGCGGCGGCCATCATGGATGCTCCTCTGCCACCGCAGCCGATCCAGAGGGTGGAGGACTTCACCTCTGTGGGCGCCACCACTCGAGGGAGGAGGAGGATACAACCCACGTTGTGCCCGCGGATGGACCCGATCGTCCATTACGCGACACGTGAGTAGCCAAAGCCCCTAGCAGCCAAGAGGCCTGCTCTGGGGTACGGCATGTATTGCAACGTGCAGGACTGGTCCTGGACCGGTGGTGTCCCGGACATCGAGGATTCAGTCCGCATGGCCCCGCAGCCCTCCGCATCCGTGTGGCCCGGCACCAGACCTCTCCTTCCCTCCGAGCGGGACAGGATGTCTTTGGCTATGCTGGATAGATATTACGCCAATGCGGCACAGGTCGTCGCATTGGCAAACAACATGGCATTCATCACGGGGGCCCTGGATAGGTCGCTCTCCTCTGGCCAGGCGCTCAGTGGAGACCTCCTATCGCAAGCGAGGACCACCTCGGCGGCGATCCTGCGCATGTGCCAGGCGCTAGCCGTGGATGGCGGCCGCTCCATGGCAGCAGCCCAAGTCGGGGCCAGGCCCCTTTGGCTTGGGCTGGCTAATATCAGGGAGGCGGAGAAGAGGCAGCTGCTGGACCTGCCCGTCTCCCAGACGTCCCGCTTCGGCCCGGACATGCAGGCCCTGGTGGCGAGACTGGAGTTTGCAGCCAACGACTCGGCTAGGCTAGCCCCGCACCTAGCACCGTGGCGCGAGGCCCGCCCACCATCACGGAGCCGGGACAGAGGCAGAGAGCGTTCGCCCGGGAGGCGTTCTGACCCGTATCCGCGCTCTGTGGTCCATCGTCCCCCCTCGACGAGGCCCCCGGGTCCAGACAGACCCACGGGTGGCTCGCGGGAGCAACGCACCCACCGCCGGCCTCCCTATGGTAGAGGAGGTTGGGGTGGCAAGAATTCTTTCAATAAAGGCCGACCGGCATTTCATCAGTACTCGTTGTCTGAGTCTCATTTGGGGGTACGTAACATGTCTATTGTGCAATCTGATGTGTTACTTCCCGGGCCCATAACGTTGCTTCACTAGGCCTGCAGCCCCCAGAGCAGGGTGTGCAGTGCGCTACGCGAGCTACGAGCGCCGGTCCTCTGATCCATGCTATGCCCTCCCAGAGAGAGGTCAGGCGGAGGGATCTGGTGAGTAGTGATGTGTGTGCTTCGGCCGAACGCGTGCTAGCCCCTCTGAGCTACAAGGCTAACACGGGGTTTCCCACTCCAGGGGCTCGCCCCCCCCTCCATGAGGCAAGAGCCAGGGGGGGGCGCAGCAGTCGAGTCACGTGGTATGAGCAGACCCGTACTTATGACGTCGGGCCTGCAGGACACATGACCGCCCCCGGCGCACACGGTGTGACGCAGGGGGCCCCCCGGCCCTTTCGTCCACCCCCCCTCCCTGCTAGGAACACCAGGAGAGGGCGGGGCTGTGACGTCTCGTGTTCCAGCTCCCGTTCCGCCCCTCACAGACTTCTACAGCATCTGGAGGGAGCAAGGTTTGCTGACAGATCTATGGCTGGAGAAGACATTGCGCAGGGATTACGCACTGCAATTCTCCCGAAAGCCACCACCATTCCGAGGCGTACGGGCAGCACGCTCTCAGGTACGGGGATCATTAGTGGCACTACAAGCGGAGGTCTCCTCTCTGCTGAGTCGAGGCGCAGCAGTGGAGGTAGACCCACAGGACGCCACCAGGGGGCTGTACTCCCCTTACTTCTTGGTGCCAAAGAAGTCAGGCGGGGTGCGTCCCATTTTGGATTTGCGCGTTCTGAACGAGTGCATTTCCAAACGGCAGTTTCGGATGCTGTCCACAAAACAGCTCCTCGAGTGTGTCAGGCAGGGAGATTGGATGTCCTCCATAGACCTGACAGACGCTTACTTTCACGTGCCGATAGTTCCGGAACACAGGAGGTTCCTGCGCTTCGCAGTGGGAGAGAGGAGTTACGAGTACTGCCGTCTCCCCTTCGGCTACGCGCTCGCGCCTCGGACCTTCTCAAAGTGCGTGGAGGCGGCACTGGAGCCGCTCAGACACGCAGGGGTAAGAATATTAACCTACATAGATGATTGGTTAATACTGGCCTCATCCAGGGAAGTGGCTGAACAGGCAGGGGGCACCAGATCCCCCGCCCTCCATCGCATGGCGACGGTGACGCTGCTGTGGGCGGCGCTTCACCTTCTGTCTCTGAGGGCGCGCCACGTCCCGGGTGTCCGGAACGTGGGGGCCGACAGGATGTCCAGGGGGGGCCCACTCCAGGACGAGTGGGGCCTGGCCCCACGGGTAGCTGCGGAGGTCTGGCGGAGGTTCGGTTGTCCAGTGGTCGACCTTTTTGCCAGTGCAGAGAACGCACAGTGCCCGACCTGGTTCGCCTTAAGGGCCGCGGACGAGCCGCCCTTAGGCGTGGACGCCCTGGCTCGCTACCCCTGGCCAGAGGGCCTGCTGTATGCCTTTCCACCAGTGCGTCTCCTGCCGGTCCTGCTGCGGAGGATCGAACAGGAGAGGAGGTCGGTGATCCTGGTGGCTCCGGACAATCCACATGCCCGGTGGTTCCCCTTCCTGAGGGGCATGGCGGTGATGGAGCCCTGGGCCCTAGTCCAGGGGGGGGGGGCCCTGTTTTCACGCCCGATAATCGGCCGCAGGCTCTGGGTTTGGAGGCTGAGAGGCGGAACCTCGTAGACCTGGGTCTTCCCCCGGCGGTGGTGGAGACTATTCAGGGGGCGAGGGCGCCGTCCACTGTGAGGGCCTACGCCACGAGATGGAGGCTCTTCAGCGACTGGTGCGGTTCTCGCTCCTGGGATCCCAGGCGTTGCCCGCTGGAGGGAGTCCTGGGATTCCTACAGGAACTTTTTGACAAGGGGAGGGCTGTCGCCACCTGGGCGGTGTTCGCGGCAGCCATTACCTCGGGTCACGACGGATTCGGGGGGTTCACAGCCCGCTCTCATCCGTTGGTTAAACGTTTTCTGCGGGGGGGCGCGCAGGAGGAGGCCCCCGCTTCAGAGAACGCCCCCGGTTTGGGACCTCAGGGTGGTCCTTAGGGGTCTGTCGGGCCCGCCTTTTGAACCGGCGGCGGAGGCGAGTCCTGAGTGTGTTGCTTTTAAGACTGCCCTCTTGCTGGCGTTGGCGTCTGCTAAGAGGGCGGGCAACTTGTGTGCGCTCTCCGTCCATGCGTCTTGCCTGTCCTTTGGAGAGGGCGACAGCCTGGTGGAGTTGTGGCCCAATCCGGCTTTTCTCCCTAAGGTCATCACGTCGGCCTTCAGGTCGAGAGTGATCCGGATAAGGGCATTCCATCCGCCGCCGCATGCCTCCCCCGAGGAGGTACCTTCTGTGTCCTGTCAGAATGCTTAGGCATTACCTGGCCATGACGTCTTCATTCAGGTTGGTTGATCAGCTGTTTGTGTGTCTGGGCCCCAAGAACAGGGGCGCCCCGCTGTCGGCTGTGTGGCGGGCGTATCAGGCTCAGGGTCTGGCCCCCCCGGTGGGCTTCAGGACGCATTCCATGCGTGGGGTGGCGGCCTCTACGGCCCTACTCAGGGGGGCGTCGGTGAGGACGTGTGCCGTGCGGCTTCTTGGGCGTCGTCCTCTTCTTTCGTCCGGTCTTATCTTTTGGATGTGTCGGACCGGTCGGTGGCCCATTCCGTGCTGAGTGCAGCGGACTGAGTTGAAACCGTGAGGTTCCTCCTCTGAGGGGGCCTACGGTTGACTT